TATTGTAGCATTTTGGCGAGGAGAGACGAGATATCTCATCCCACAACTGCTGTTGCTGCTGCTGTTGATGTTGATGTTTCTGTTGTTGGTTAGAATGACTATCCAGTCCTAGCAATTCCATCTCCAAGTCCAAATCTCTGGCACTCAAAGCACTCTTTAGCCTGCTGCCTGGAAGCTGCAAGGCAGGTGGAGTGAGGTTAACTTTGTTCTGCCACAAAGCTCCATTCTTGGGAGATGAAGAGGTTGCCAATGGAGACATGGGCGGTGTTGACGTGGTAGGCAGAGACATAGGTGATGAACCAAGAGCTAATGGGCTCAAGGCGGCCATATCTGCGGCGCTCACTGACATAGACCTTGGTGAAGGCATGGCTGAACCCGTGGAAGCATACACTGGGCGTAATTCTTCAGGTCTGTGAGCAAAGAAGCACACTTTCCTTGTGCACCCTGTTTCATCCTTGCAAAGCCGGGTACGATATTGAGCAGGATGAAGCCAGGACTCAAAAACACCATGAGCATACTCACAGACATCTCCCTTCTGGCACGACCCTTTGCGGAACTCAGGGCAGGGTACACAGCTATATGGGTACTTTCTTGGGTCTCTCCTCCTTGCATTCTCACCTGGATGAACGAAAGGGCATTCAGTCCAGTCATGAGAGTAGGCCCTCGAGCACGGCTTCACCTTGAAAGTGTACATTCTGAACTCATCTGTACCATATATCCCATTGTTGATATCAGGCAATGAAATATCAATAGGATATTCTTTCTTCTCGCTTCCGTCTTTTGACAGCTGAGGGCTTGGAAACTTCTGTTGGTCTCCCTCTTGGTTAGCAATCTGATCACTTTCCATCACTGACATATCACCTTTCAACAGCATCTCCAGAGTCTTTCTTCTTGAACTGCAAGGTGACTTCAAAGCAGGGGCAATCAAGTCAATGGGCTTATTCCCATTGGCATTGACGCAATTAGCATCAGCTGATGCATCAAGCAAGAGCTTGACAACTCCAAGTGAAGCGGTGGAACCGCCAGCAGTGGCACAGTGAAGGGCAGTGACCTTATCTGAACCACAAGACCTGTTGACATCAGCCTTACCAGACTGAATAATATACTTCAAAACCTTGGTGCTGCCGAACATGGCAGCGATCATAAGCGGTGTCCTCTCTTCGAACCCCATCTTCTTTGACCCAATTCTTCTACCATACCAAAAGCCAGCCTCGTCAACATGTAAACCTTTCTCTTCTACTTCGCTTCTGAAAGCATCAAGATTGTCTGAGGCAGACAATTCAACCAAAACCGAATTCTGCTTAGGAAATCCGCTTTCCATGGTGAAATTGGAGGGGCTAAGCTTATCCTTGGAACCCTTGCACATATCCTAAAGCCTGCATCATTATAAAACAAAAATTCAATATACCACTCAATATAAACTATCTGCAGCTGCTAGCTTATATGTAAAGTGGTATACTTCATCTAATTTCTAAATAAATGAATAAGAACTTCCATAACTGCATAATTATTGAATCTAAGATTTACATAAATTGAACAAGAGAGAGAATTCAAACCGCCTCCACGGAAACAACCCAAAACTACATCTTGAAAAGTATAGGTTTTTAATTGAGATGAGCTTTACATATTCCACAAATCATCACAAAACTTTGATTTGGAAATAATAATATAAAAAAACCCCAGATCCAAAGTATCAAACTTTAACCCAAATAACTCAAATCCCAGAAATCTTTCAAAGACCCATTGAAAAAATCATACAAAACCAAAGGGTATCACAAAATTCAATCAAAATATATAAAGCATCAAAATTTAAGGTTCTAGGAAACTCAAACAATCAAACCCAGAAGCTTTTTTCTCACCTTTAAGTCGTCAATAAGTCGTCAGAGGCACGGAGTGAGTGAGAGTAGGAGGAGCGTTGAGTATTTGTTGTTAGAGTGCAAAATGGTTTGGGGACCTCGAGTTTGAGGAGGTTGAGGTATGAGGAGAGGGAGGCAGGGGCTTTATATTCTTCCTTGCTGTGCCTGTGGCTCAAGGAAGAAGGCAGGAAAGTGTGACTTTTCTTCTTTCTCAGCACCTTCTTTCTCCTCTCCTTTGTATGGAATTTGGTCAAAGTCAAACCTTCAAAGCGAGGGCCACTTCTTTATGACCATCCTATCAGCGGGAGGATTTCTCCTAAATGAAACTCAAATTCAAATTCACCCCAAATTCAGTTCAAATGCAAAGAAGATAGACTTACTGAGCCCACTCACCTACACCTCGTTCGCTGAGGATTTGCTAAGCCTCAAGTGGAGTTGTCCGCCACGTGTGCTTGTGTTTCATGTTTCATGGTTTCCTTAATCTGCTTCGCGCTTGTGCACGTTGCTACAATCTCCTGCCCTCTCTCGGAGAACATCACTTTTGAAAATGAAATTATTATACTTGTTACTTATTTACTCTATTTTTCCATTCTTTTTTTTCTTTTCTTGTTCGGTTTTCTTAATATTATGAAATCTTACTTTAGATGGTCATGAAAGAAAATCTTAGTTTAGATGGGGAATTTGAAACAATAATACAACTTTTTCATTGCTTATTTTGCATAATTGCATTAACGTTTAAAAAATCTACTTTTTAAAAAGCTTAATGGCATGCGACACCACCCATTATATCTTTTTGAAACTTTTTTCGTGTGGTGTGCGGGGAATTTCTTAACAACTTGAGTGTCTTTGGGAATATTCATACTCTAATTATTGATTCCTCAAAAGTATGATAATACAATATTGACTTCATCATGTTAAACGATGTGATCAATACAACACGACATCATACCAAAAATCTCGATATGAATTTGTTGGTAGTATATTTAGCCAAACGATCGATCGGCGAAGCTAAATAGTAAATCACAACGCATTTATAATACTTTAATACCTGAGAAACCTGAAATGCATATCTAAAGACTAAAGAGAAGCCGTTGAGGCAACTAATACACGACCATTGATTCAACTTTTGTCGTATTGCGTAAAGTCTTCGATTTCATGTCGTTTTTGTGGCAAGGAACAGTGACTGGGAAGAGCGAGTAGAGTATACATTTGAGAGACCAGAGACTGAAGGACTGAAAAATGAGATGAAATGTATGAAGAAGTAGAGGTTGGACCAACTGTGACTGAAGAGGATTATGGGATTAGGAAAATTCAAAGCTGTCAAGCTAAAGCGCGTTTATCTTCTCTTCTGGTTAGACTTCGTTTCTTTTGGTTGAGGTGAGGTGAGGTGAGGTGAGGTGGGGTGGGGGACACCATTTCATTATTGGAATCTCTGACTCAGCCTCCCACTATGGACGTTTGTAAAAAAAAAACACACCTTCAGGTTTTCAGCCTATATAATTTTATTTTTATTTTTTAAATATAATAATAAATAATAAAACGTGCTATACAAACAATCTTATGCATATATGTTATTGTAAACTTTGCTTTAGTTGGACTTTTGATTTGATTTCTACCCCCTGATCCTAACAAAACGTTGAGAACTTGCTGAGTTTGACAAGGACAAGACAACTGGTCCTTAAGGATTCGTTGGATGCAGGCCTTTCCCATTTTTCTAAGAAAGAAAAAGAAGAACGAGCTGATCATACTTTAACTTTCTGTTTTCACCCTTTTCCTTCACAAGGGTGTTTCCTGTTTAGTTGTCTATGCAGAACATGATAAAAACCAGAAACAGGGTTATAGTTTCCGTCCAAGAAAAACATGCCTAGTTAATTGGTATCTACAGAATGTTGTTAGTCTCTATTAAGCATTTTGTGTTAAGAATCGCTTAAAACGTTTAATTTCAATCGTTGGATCGCATGTATGTATGACACTTATTAAACCCACTAACATGTCTAATGGATGACTGAGATTAACTAGTCATTAACACAAATCTTTATCGGAGAATCTTCCGTGTTTGAATACAAACAAGAAAGCAAACAATAATATGGGCTTTATCTCAATTACTCTAGGAAAAAAAAACATATGGGCTTCTACGCATCTTTGCTTCCCAAACAAAGAGCAATATGGGCTCCTTATGGGTTTGTCATCCCCATCAGATTCTAGAGAGAGAAAGCAGGAGAGAAAAGGGAACAAACAAAGTGGGCCTGTGGCCTGTGGAGAATACTTTGCAAGGTGAAACCTGAAACCCAGAGTCCATTTAATCAATCAGCTTTATATTGGGCTTCATTAGGGATTTCATTCAAATTTATTTAGCTGAGTTGATTGATTAAAAGGCCCACATGTAACTGAAGGCTTAATTAGGCCACGTGGAATATATCTAATACTTGGTCTTGGTTATTTCAAGAAGGAAAATGCTAAGTTTACCACATTTTTGTACCACATTATGTACTACCTCTTATTGTATTGGTAGACTCCACCTCTATTAGAGATGTGGTAAACAATGTGGTATAAAAATGTAGAGGTGGACATAGCTCTAGATTGGATCAGTTTCACTTCAAAATCACGGTCGAACCAATTACAATATAACGACTTGGTTTGGTTAGGTTTTGACAAAAGTCAAGAAAACCAAACTAAACCAATTTAAAACGGTTTGGTTCAATTTGGTTTGGCTGATTTGGGCCTAAGCCCAATTCTTTTTTCTTCTGCATTGTTTCAATATTGTTAGCCCAATTACAACCAACAAATTCATAAATTGCTCCATACTTAAATCTTTTTCTAGAGCACAAAACAATCCTAAAGCTCAACATGCCATAAAACTTCAAATTTCAATTACTAGTATAGCTCAATTCAAATATTCATATATAGTTATTACGTAATTATAGTATTACACATATAAAATATAATATGAATAATAAATATACATATAAACAGTTCGGTTTGGTTTAGGCCGATTTATAAAAGTTCAAAATCAAACCAAACCAAATTATATACGGTCTAGTTTGGTTTTTAAACCATTTGATTTTTTCTTGATCAAAACCAAATCAAAATGGTAATCACGGTTTGATTCAGCCAGTTTCATCAATTCGGCCGATTGCCCACCCCTCTAAAAATGTGGTAACCTTAGCATTATCCTTTCATGAAAGCGAACCGACTACCAAACTATTAATCCACGTTTTTGGAGAGAGAGAGAGAGAGAGAGGGAGATTGAGGTCCTGCTATTCTGAGTGTTCAAACAATGCCAAACAGCTTGGCTATCTTAATTTGTTGTTGTTAGGCACAGAGCGAAGTAGCTTTTAGTCTCTATCATGGAGTTCAAGAGCACCACCAGACAACTATTCTCCATTTCACACTGTGATAAAGACTAAACTAGACTTGACAAGAAAATTTTAAATTATCTCGCTCCTCCCCATACTGGTTTGCCTTAATTTCCACGTTGATCTGCACGAGAAAGTGAAAGCTTGATATAAATTATTGGCTCATCCTATAACATTTTAAACTCTTAGAAGGATTAGTGGTTCTTTAACGAAATGATATGTTTGTCTATGAAGGGAAAGTGGGTATAGGGTCTTTAGCCAAAAAAAGGAAGAACAAAAACAAAAGAGTGGGCAGACGTACCAAGTGTACAATGTAAGGCATAACACTGACCTAAGCAATGACGGCTTCCAAAAATAAAATTTGTTTGGTAAGGGCAAATTATTAGTTAACAGTCAAATAATCGACACTACATAACTAATTAGTTTAATTATAAGGTGTGGCATGAACATTGCCAGAGCAACACGTGTTCTATGGGATAATGATTGGGATTGATGATAGTCTACCCTAGCTAGCTTAGCTGATCATCCATGGATGATGGAGGATGGAGGATGGAGGATGGAGTCATGGACCATGCATGCAGGCGTCAGGTAGGGTCAGATGGAGGTTCCCTGTCCATCCACTTGTCATCTCCTCCACTCACGACGATGCATGCAAGTAACCACACGTCCATGCATGTTCATGCCAATTACCATGCATGCATGCACATGTACCACATACAGAGAATTGAAATTTATACCACATTGACAGAGAGTTTTCCCAACCAAGAAATTTAATTTACTTTTAAATAGTTTGAACAACAATCAGAATCAATCCATCGTACCGCAGCTAAGTAAGAATCTTAAATTACCTCAGAAATTATTGAATGAATGAGAAATTCACCTAAACAGATTTAATTCATTTTCTGCTGCTATATATATAATACAGATTTCCAGCACGCACCTAATTAAACTTCGCGACACAAAGACCTGAACTCCATGTGATATGATGATCTCCATGCACGTTTTGTATACTTGCTAACAAATAATGTGAGAATTATGTATGGCTTTGCGTATATTTGCATTTACTTATGAAAACAGTTCGCTTTCGCTGCATGTATGGCTTTTGCCCTTTCATTATGCACAAAGAATTTCTCATTTGTCACTCACATGTCTAAATTCTTTATAATAATCATCACTACCATACTGAATATTTATTTGGAATTTTAATTTGTTTTGATAAACAGTTATGCTACATATATATACTGAATTACATAATTTCCCGTAGTTTGGGGGCTGATTAGTTTTCTTTGGTTTCTCTTTTAGGGTCCGTTTGATACCGTTTCATTTTTTGTGCTAAGTATAAAGGAAAATGAGAGTGAAAATGGGAGTGAGGATGAGATTGAGAGAAAGGATGAGAGGGGAAACAATTTCAAATATATTTTAGTTTTTAATTTGTGTTTTCACTTTTGTTACTCATCCATCTCATCTTCCCTTTCAATCTCATCTCCACTCTCCCTCTTTTTCCTTTATACTCTAGCACAAAAAAATGAAAACTAAAAACTAAAAACTAAAATTGAAATGGTTATCAAAAGAGCCTTTAATTTCTTATTTTCTTTCTTTTTTATGTATTCCTCAAATTACCTTTTGTACATATTGCCATCGGAAAGAGTTGGAGATGTAGAGCCTCATATTGAATATGACAACCTAATCTTTGAAGGAAAAAAAAAAGCTTGATATGAGACAGAAACGTACGTTCTCTATGCTGTTTTGTGTGGTGTTGATGTCTTCTTTCACTTTCTGCCGAGGTGGTGCGCTCCCTATCCTCTTGTCAAAGACGGCGG